GTCTAAACCATCAGTCGCGAGATCGGAAATTTTTGGGTTGTGACAGTCGCCTCAAATTCTTGTCATGAAATGTTGTCAAATATTTTCACTAGAAGAAATCTCGTCCACAATAACACCACCATGTTTGAATTTTGTAAGTCATTTTTGATCCCTAAACTCTCTAGCAAGATGCAACACAAAATGTGTATTTCCTTCACTCACATTTTCAAAGCTTTTCTCTCATTTTTTCTTGGTTTTTTTTTTCTTGTTTCACTTTTCCATTAGAACAAAAAATGCATTTGAAAGTGACGTGAGGTAAATGAATGGTTTAGGATTCTTCAAAATAAATGAAAGAGAGGAACCTTTAACCTAGCCTATAATCGTCGCCAACATTAATCTTCATGGCATTGCGTTGGGAGCTCGCAAACTTGTTGAATCAAATTTTCAATGGTCACAAACTTCAAATATTTGATATAAAAAAATAGTCCAAACTTGATTAAACTGGAGTTGAATTAAATTTGAAGAAACACGTATATATTGAGCAGTTAGAATTAAGTTTCATCAATCTCCCTCATATGCATTCCTAATGATTCATACAATTAACTCTATTTTTCATTGCCATTAAGTTCTCTATATTAATTCTAAAGCAATTCCTTGATGTTAGAAATTCTAGGATATATAACTTAATGAATGATTCCTCACTTCATGTAGTTAAATATCTTGCATTAAGAATAAGAACTTATTGCAACTATTAGTTCCGAAACTATTCCGAACTTTTGAGACTAGTAGGCGATTCGTTTCAAAACTAGATTTAAAAAATGTTTCCCAACCAAAATCTAAATCCAAAATCAAAGATAAATTATCAGTTTATCAAAGCTTTAAGAGCATAATCTGAATGACTAGCACTGAATAATAGATGTACCATTTATGAATCAAAAAGGAATACACGAGAGTTTGATGATTACATTTAATCCCAACCAAGGAGTTTTAGCACTCCATAGTGGAGGAGATTGCAAAAGGTAAAAAACAAAAAAAAGGTAGAAGAAGAAGATTGATCGTAGGAACTCTGTTCCAACGAGCTCCAGAGCAGCTGCTTGAGCCTTGTCTTTCTTCGTTAAGTCTCCCCTTTTTAGTTTATCTTGTCATTTCTTTTATATGAGTTGGAAATAAAACAGAGGAGGCAGGAAAGAGAATAAATTGTCCAATGCCTGGGAAACAGCTGAGCGGTTTGAAGAATCCTCCATTATGAAGAAACCTCAATGGCTGAGCCGTTTTGAGTCGCTGAGTGCCTGGGTTGCCGAGGCTGAATTTTCACCTCTAGGACAAATCGCTCAGCCCTTTAGAGGCGTTAAGCCCTTTTGTCCCCTGCTTCCTTGTGTTGCTTGCGGCCTTGAAAGCGCTTAGCCCCTTTAAAAAGTTGAGTTATTTGCTCCCAAATACCTCTACTTCCTCCAAATAGCTGAACCTACAAAATAAGCGATCAATTGGTTACCAAAAAGTCATCAACTCCACACATTGTCTCACTTTAAAACCTTTCTTCTTCTATTTAAATTTACTAAAATTTTCATCATTTTAAAAAAAAAACTAATAGATAAGTGTCATAATTTAATATTTTATTTAGACACAAACAAACTAAAAGGCCTTTAAGAGAGCTCAATTATTGGTATAAAACTACATTGGGGCGACATTGAGAAATGATAACACCCCAACCAATAATAGGTCAAAAGGTAGGCAACGTTGAATGGCTTGAAAAAGCAATTATACATGAAGAAAAACTAGGCTTCATCATCATCAATTGCTCGACATACCCTATCTTCCTCCAAGGGCTTTTGAATCTCTATAAGGTCCCCAATGCCAAACTCCATAATATTGGTGTGGTGGAGGGATTTCATCTACAAAGACTTATTTGTGAATTTAGTTGAGTACTCCAAAAGTATTCAAAACCTAATTTGATTACTCGTTTGTCTCCATAATAAAATTGACTTTTGGGTTGTAAATCAACATAAGAGGTGTTGCCCGATTTCTCGATAGCATGAATTTCCCTGTTTGGACCTTTTTGGTTGTCGCTTTGATCAACAACCACCTAACTCCTATCCTTTACAAGTATCTCGTCATTCGGCTGAGGAGGCTCGAGTCTAATGGAAGTAATTAAGGCATTAGGTGTATAGGTAGAGGAAGCAAAAGAAAAGTAATAGTTCTTGGAAGAAAAGGATGAAATCTAGGAAGATGAGGAAAAACTATAAATAATGTTAACTTCCATTCCACCAAATATCGGAGACTATATTATTGTTGGAACTCGTAAAAGAAGGAATAAAGGTGTACTTGATCGATACTCGACTTTTAAATATCTAATGCAAGGAAAGAAAGTGTTTAGTGTATTCAAAAGTCAAAAGCAGCATGGAAATTCTTTTCAGGGTTAATAGACCTTGTTTATGGAAGAAGATAGCTTCAAGATACAAAGTGTTGGGTCTCCCAAAACTGTTAGATCCCTTTGATATCAACGGTGGAGATGGGTGTGACTTCCTGTATGCGCGAGACATTTCATATCCACGCGATTATGTCCTTTCACATGTTATCATTGCATTTGATTGACCACTAAAATGGTGGTGTACTGAAAAGATGTTAATCACAAAATTTTTAGGTGGGAATTTTTTTTAGTAAGCTTATATATAAATTCTTCTTCTAGGTGTCGAAGACTTGGGAACTTGTGTATTGGAGTTGTCTCGGGGCCAAGACGTTGTCGACCTCGTTTATAGAATAATGCTCGAATAGGTTGACATGTTATTAGTTATTGGAAGGCAATCTATAAGACTAAGAAGTATTCGGCTTGACCAAGCACCTCATTATAATCATGATAAAGTGTAACTCTAGTCGTTACACAACCATACAAATTATATAATACCTTTAATAATTGAATCACCAACAATAACATTCTTCTATCTATAAATATTCATGTATTAGACCTTTATGAGGTATGTAATCTTACACAAAAGATCTAACACTCTGAATATCGATTGACTTTGGCATTACAATCCCTTTTACAGATACAACCAACATCTAATACTTGGAGGCTGTGGATTAAGTAGTTGATAGCCAATGACTTTCAATAGAAGACTTCTTGTGTCTACTTTTTGGCAAGTACAAGTCCAAACACAAACATAACAAAGTAGATTTATCTATGTTCTAAAGTTGTTGTCAGTGCTATACTTATGTCATACATACTGTAACATTTAAATTTTAGATAAAAAATTAATTAATTAATATTAATATTTAACAAATTTTGTACATTTAATATATATATATATATATATATATAAGTCAGATAATTATATCTTATCAATTTTGTGTATTTTATAAGGTTAAGATAGGATAAATATATAGAATTAATTGGGTGAGTTAGGACTATTTTTTTTAATACTTTTAAAGTAAAAAATAATAATTATATTAATGTACAAGAGATATATGATAAATAATTAAAATAATGAAAAGAAAGGTATTTGAATATAATGCCATAATTCTAAATGAATTTGAATAACAATATTTTCAATATTCATTCAATTCTTTTAACTATTCAAATAAATAAACTCTTATTTAAATAATTTTTCTTTCAAAACATGAAAAAACTTTATTTATTTCACTAAATAAAACTTTTGTTAAAAAATATTACCTTTTAAAACACATTTTTTTTAATAAATAAATTATTTATTCAAATATATTTTCTTTTAAAAATGTATTTTTATTTTAATAAATAGTTTTCTTCATTCAAATAGAATTTTTATTTATTTCAATGAAACTATAAAATTTTATTTATTTTTTAAGTATTTATTTAAGTTTAAAATTATTATTTTAATTAACTCTGAACCTAAAAACATAATATTTTAAAAATATTTATCTTTTAAATATTTATTTATTTTATATCAAATATATTTTTATTCTATTATTTAAATATGTTTTCTTCTATTTTTTTTTGTTATATATATATATATATTTTATTTTTCACCTATTTTCTTTCAATCAAACAATCAAATTTTCACTTAATTCCTTATTTATTTTCACTGTCCTTCCTATTTCTCATCTATGTGTTTCCTCTTTATTAAAGACATCCTATAATAGAACATATTTGGGACAATTAATAAATATTTCAAGCTTGCTTTATTATAATGTGATTGAAATTAGGATAACAATAAAAATTTTGAGTTTTTTTTAGTAATTTAAGTGAAACTTGATGTTTGAATAGGTAATTATAGATTAAAAAATATTAAAAATAAGTGAATATATTTAAATTTTTTAGTATTTTATATATACAAATATTTGAAGATTTCGAATAAATAAAGAAAACTATATTTAATTTTAAAATAGAAAGACACAATTAACTTTAAAAAATGAGAAATTATTTTAAAATAAATTGTCTGCTGAAAATATTTAAAATTGCTAAAAAAATAATAATTCGTCTCAAAATTTTAAAAACAAAAGAAAAGAAAAGTTATACGAAATTTATTAAATAGTAAACCTTGCTGTAAAATGTAGTTAATAAAAACTATTTAAAATTATATACAAGTCACATTTTGTATGTTAATAATAATGAAAAACTATGTCATTATTAGTAAATAATATAAATAAGACTATATCATATTTTTAAAAATATATATTCATTTTTATATATTATGAAAGTTGTTCAATTATGTATATATTTTTAAAGAGATTTATTTGTTATTTTAATGTTTAAAATAAAATTAAAAGTAATTTGTTAAAAAAATTTTACATTTTATTTTATGTCATAGACAGTAGACAGGATTGTTAATGTTATAAAAGTACATTTTTATTTTTTTAAGTGTGAGAAGCTTAAAATAGACTTTTCAATTTTAATAGAAATTAATATGAAGTTTTTATTAATAAATTATTTAAATATTTTTTATAATCTGAACCGTTCATTATATCCGGATAACAAATTTTTAATCCCCAATAAATTGTCATATTATTGATTGAAGACCAGTAAGAAGAATTGGTGTTGGATGGTGGTGCTGTTTTATGGGCCGTAACTGGTGAGGGATGGCCCAATCCTAGTTGTACAATGCAACGAAACTTAATTTCTTGTGGGCAAATGCAATAAACACAGCAGAAGGCAGTCGACACCGTTCAAGGCCCCGAGTGCAAGGCACCGCGGAAGCAAGCGGCTCAAGCAATGGACAAGGTCGGACATGCCGGACGAATCAACGCCGATCGCCTCCGCGAAGCACTCTTCGTCACCGGGGCAAAAAACCTCTCCAGTTGTTCGTTAACGAAAACGCCTACATGCCTCAGTATCTTCAAGACTTTCGATCCCTCGGTAAGCGTGTAATTCCACTCGTTGGCATTCGCTTTAGTTCCGCAGATTAGGGTTTTGGAGTCTACGGATCGTTTTGTGATTATTTTTTTGCGATTCACGCACCAAAACGTATTGACAAAATTTATTGTGCAAGAATTGCACGATTCTTCCCTAAGTCGCAATTCTTGCGATTCAGATCCGATTCGTGCGATTGACACTGCGATTCAAGCACCAAAACGTCTTCACAAAGCTGCTTACTAAAGAATCATACGATTTTTCTCTAAGTCGCGATTCTTGCGATTCAGATCCGATTCATACTCTTTGGGGTTTATTATTGTATACAGTATACACCCGTATGCTGTCTGTTCTCATATCATTATATAATTTGTTAGAGGGTTTTTTGTTTGAACATCTTTATTCGTTAGAACTTGTAGTCTTGATATGCATACCAATATTGTCTTTCCTTGTTTGTGGTTATTTTTTCCATCCTTTTCCAAGTGTTGATGTTATTGGTTAATTAAGGGTTCTATTACAAGAATAAAGCAATGTGTCTCATTTTTGCACAACACTAGCAGGCCAGTATATAAAACCACAGCAAACCAGAATTTGGGCCTTCTATTTATCTGTGGTAAGTGGTAACAGCTATAAATCCTAAAGAGTAATTCTCTGTAAATTGATGTCTTCAATATGATTATATGAATGTCACAAAACATTTGCTATATATTTGCAATTCCATTCCTACTGTGTAGCTTTTCATATTACGTCAATGATACTGTAGGTCCATAAAAATGAGATAGGCAACAGGCAGCATAACATGACTATATATCGTATCTACGTAGTTTTTCAAGAAAATAGTTCGTTGATACAACAAACAGATTAAGAATAAATTACACCCTAGGAATTGCACCTCTAACAACTAAGAAGTTTGGAAGGTTTGTAAATAAGCATTTTTTTAATGCATATTTTAAAGTTTTATGTGTTTTATTATGATACGTGAATTAATGTAATAGGCATTTTTTCTGTTGAGGGAAGAAATAATAGGCTCTGAAGTGTGAACATTATACATCTTTTATTTCCATCTAAAACTTGTAAGGCACAATTATTGACTTCTGATTTGACTGGATTTGTGTCTGCTGGAATTAAGGGAGTGCCCATCGGACTGGGAGATCAGCTAGTTGAGTTACATCCTTGCACATAAAAATAGTTCTGCATTTATGTCTTTTTCTTCATGCCTTTGATTACCAAGTTCATTGATTTTGTTGTTGGTTTTAAGGATTGGGCTTGATTTGGGTGGAAAGGAGGAAAGATATATGTGCATGTGATGTTGTTAATCAGCCTGCGTAAAACACAGGTGTATGCTATATTGAAGAAACACAACTTAAAACACTCTTTTTAGATATAACAAGTCATAACTCATAACAGTAGTGCCTTGTATGAAAAGGATTGAACATAGACAAATAGACTTGAATCTAAGTTGACCAAGAGCTTTAAGCAAAACTAGCCTACCTGCTATAGGTTGTTCTGGCCAACATGTTGCTGGCATTAGCTGTTTTAAGTATGTTACCATTTATGTTTGAAAACTTTGAGCCATTTTTTAGTTATTTTGTTTGTCTTCTATAATCTTATATATATGCTGATGTGTAATGTATGTTGTTTGCAAATCGGTTAACGAGGGTTGCCTTTAAAAATTCTAAATCTAGTTGTACAATGTAGTGGCAGATTGAAAACCTAGCAGGCCAGAATTTGGGATTCTACTTTGTTTCTATTTTATATCTATATATCTATATATGTGTTGATTATCCAGGTATTTTGAGTTGTGCAGGCATTATGGACACAATTTTTGTCATCACTTCTGATTTCTATTGGTAACATTTGATTGATATCACCGTGGCTTCTGCATTGATTTATCCGTGTCCTGCAAACTTTAATGTTTTGGTTTTACTTTGAAAGACTTGACTAAGGCCTTTCTGTAGTGAAATTATGTTCTCTTGATTTTTCAAATAATAGACAAGATGCTTATTCTCGGATTCAATGTGCTGCTGCTACACATGTCCCATTTCGCTAATAAAATCTTCAGCTAATTATGTTCTCTGGTCTATGCAGTCTTTCCATTATTGCAAGTATAAGCGGGGGATGAAAACCAATTTTACATATTTGCTGATGATTGCATTCCAAGGTGGCTTACTACATCATACCATATTGATTCTGATTTTATGGCAGGTGCAGACAAGTTTGTGAATATCTATTTTGTGTGGTTGCCATAAGATGTTTCAGATGAGATAGAAGAAGATCCTACGGGTGGGAGGATCAAGTGGGAGCAGGGAAAGTTGAATAGAGCTCCGAATAAGGTGGAAGAAATTGTACAATTTCATGTTGGTGATGTGGTCACATACTTTCAAAAGGCGTCTCTTCTACCATGTGGTGGAGAGTACATTGTATTTTGAACAGTTATGGGTTGTGTTGGGACATTACATGCCTTCACTTCACGGGGTGATGTTGATTTCTATTCTCATCTGGAGATGCATATGAGGCAGGATCCCCTACCTTTGTGTGGAAGAGACCACATGGCCTATAGATCTGCTTATTTTCATGATAAGGTACCTACCTAATCAATTTTATGTTTTTTGTTCTTTCTATTAATGCAAGAAAAATGTTGGAGTTAGCTGTACACACGCTTCAACTGTCATTTAGAGAAAACATGGTAATTTTGTATAAATTGTTTGGGTTAGGAGGATCTTGCCTTCTTAGAAATTGGAATGATAAGTTTGCACTCTATCTCTAGCTTGCTGCAGTAGTCGTGTGTACTATGATGATTTTTTTTGACCGAATAATCAATGGCTTGCTGCTCATCATTATTCAATTTTTTTAAGTAACATTTCTTAATGAAATTATGGTGTATAACTTAAAATTTATTTTCTTAAACAAATTATCAGGTAATTCCGTACACAGCAAGTGATTATATAGTAAAGATAGAATATGGCTCTGTCGGACCAGACCCAACAAAGGTGATTATCTAGTTGTCATAGTGTTTGATGATTCAAAGAGTTGCTATTGAACCTTACATGGGGGGTTAGGTTTTATTAGTTTTTTTTGCGTTTGAGTTTTTTTTAGTGTTTTTCTGGAGTTTGAAAATGAATACAAAGATTGAAAATAAAGCTGAGAAAATAAGTAAGAAGAAAAATAAGAAGGAAAACATATTGTTAAAGCCTTTTGTGTGAGGTGAGAATAAATTATTGTTGGGGGTTGGGGGTTGGGGGTTGGGGGTTAGGGGTTAGGGGTTTTAGGGTTAGGGTTTAAGGTTTAGGGTTATTTAGGGTTAGGGGTTTAGGGTATTTTAGGGTTGGGGGTTTGGGGTTTGGGGTGTGGGGTTTGGGTTAGGAGGATCTTGATAATTATATGTCTCATGATCAAGGATATTTGAGATTTTTTTGCTTATATGACTCTTTTTAATTTTTCAATGTTGGGATTAGTTACTAGTTCGAATTTGATACAAATTTATGTTTTTTGGGAATTGGTTGGAATGTGTTCTTATTTATTAATAAGCTTTTGGTTCACGCGGCAAATGTTTAGGGTTAGGGGTAGGGGGGTAGGGGGGTAGGGGGGTAGGGGTTTAGGGGTAGGGGTTTAGGGGTAGGGGTTTAGGGGTAGGGGTTTAGGGTTTAGGGTTTAGGTGTAGGGGTAGGGGTTTAGGGGTAGGGTTTAGGGGTAGGGGTAGGGGTTTAGGGTTTAGGGGTAGGGTTTAGGGTTTAGGGTTTGGGGTTTGGGGTTTGGGGTTTAGGGGGTTTGGGGGGTTTTGGGTTTAGGGGGTTTGGGGGGTTTAGGGTTGGGGGTTTAGGGGGTTTAGGGTTGGGGGTTTGGGGGATTTGGGGTTCGGGGTTGGGGGGTTTGGGGTTTGGGGTTTGGGGTTTGGGGTTTGGGGCGTCAGCCTTGTTACCCAATAGAGTGTGCAATCAATGCTCAATTGCTTTAAAGGGTGAGGATACGAGCAAATACACCTATCCAAGGAAAACAACGTAGAAGCACCAAAGAGGTGAACAAAAGACCCGGACAAAATGTCTATGTCTTTACTTGCCTTTGGAAAAGCAACACATTACTATTCCAAAGGACAAGTAAAGAGGGGCAGCTGTAGACACCCAATTTCATCCAGGGGGCATACAAACAACAAGATAGGACATCAGAAGGCCCAAAAGCCCAAATTAACATTTTTAATGGCCCGGAACGGGCCGTTCCAAAATCGAAACGGGCTGTTCCCAAGTCTAGAACGGGCCGTTCTCGAATTGGAACGGGCTGTTCCGAGGCTTCTAAAAGGCCTAAAAAATGTAGGTTGGAACGGGTCGTTCTAGACCAGAACGGGCCGTTCCAAACCAATCGAAGGG